TTCTGTAGAGATAGTTGTGGCTGTCTAGTTGATTTCCACTCAACAGTGACCCTATGGGATAGTAGAACTGATCTATAGGGTTTCCTTGACTGGTTTTTGCAGGAGTGGATCGCCAGGTCTTTTCTCCCGTGGAGTCCCTGGTGGGTTGAAAGCATAGCTGAGCACTAAGTCATTGTGCCAGTAGAGTGACTCACATGAAGATTATGGCCTAGAAAGCCCTATGGGACAGTTCTCTGTCACATAGAGTCACTATGGGTCGAGTTAGCAGCACCTAGCAACAAGGCAAAGTAGAAACCTGATGTACAGACACTCTGACCCCAGATCCCTTTGTCTCAGAAAGATGCTGGGCATTCCTTGAAGGCCAGGATGGAGTATGTTGATGTAGTGAGAACCAGAGACAATACCTTCCTTTGTTCCAAGACAAGGCTAGGGTGAATTAGAGATGATGGAAGATTCTTAGGCAGCATGGACTGAAAGGAGACACCTGACTCCTTCCCAACCTGAGGGAGGCCCTGAGGAACCTCAGGCTGCCCCCTGAAAAGAGAACACCGAATGAGGTAAAGGGGATTCTCAAAGAAGGCAGAGCCCAGGTCTTTCTATTGTTATAAGGCCACAAAACCTTGAGATTTCCTCACTTGGTCCCCTATCCCACCCTCAAGCTATAGTTTTCCTTGGAGCCAGCCTGTCTACTGCTCTGGAGGTGGTGCTCTGGCAGTAAGCCATTTGGGCAGGTGACCAGAGCTGAGATTGCTTCCACTGTCATTCCTGGCCTGGGGCTGCCAGAGGGCAGGTGAGTGTAGTGGGCCTGATCTGAGGGACTGGGCCAGTCTTGGCTGAGGGAGAGCCGGGACCTAGTTGAGGCACTGTCTCCTGGTAGAACTCTGCGAATAACTGGCTATATGAGATCACTGGGCAAGTGTTCAGGGGCAGAAGTCAGCAGTTCTTCCTGGGAACATGTGGGATGTAAACTGGGGGTGGAGAGGGGTTCAGAAGGGAAAGGACCATCTTCTCTGGTTTCATCCTCGTAGGAATAAAGGAAAAATGGAGTCCTGGTGTGGTGCTGTAGGATAAGCAAACTTAAAAATTAGCCTACTATGTTTGGTCAAACATTTAATTAACTTGCCTTGGATGTGATGGCTGGAGTCTTGGTATGGCACTGGGAGTTAATGCACCAGACTGCAAGGTTGGTTTGAACCACAAGGTCAGCGGTTCAAACTCAAAAGCTGCGCCTTGGAAACCCTATACAGGGTAGCTGTGAGTCGGAAACAACTCGGTGGCACTTAACAACAAACAACGTGATGACGTAACTGTGGTTGCCTTGGCAGGCCCAGACCAAGAGCTATACAGAGTCGCTGTGAGTCGGAACTGACTCAGCAGCGCTTACCAGGTGTGTGTGTGTCTGGGGGTGGGGGTGGTGTCAGGATGCTGGGGCATCAAACTGAGACTACTCTTGCCAGAAGCCTGACATAAATTGACAAACGGGGTGGACTGAGGGTGTCCTTGAAATCATGGGGGACCAAGTTGATGGTGAGACCCCTGAATGGTACTTAACTCTTATTTTTCTCTGCCAGCATCACTGCTTCCCCAGGGTCCTGGGTGGAGAAGTGAGGTGTTGGGTCTCAGCGTCCCTGAGGGCCTGATACCTTCCTCACGCCAGCCCCTCGTGGAGCTAGGACGGGGCAGACATGACCACTCCTTCCTCACAGTGACCACAGTCACAGTGGGGGCATCAGCCTTTCTCGGGAAACTGGTGGCAGCATGCCTGGCGCCCTGTACCTGCCCAGCCGCAGGCAGTGTGGTGGACTGCAGGGGCTTCCACCTGCTTAGCCTCCCCCCTGGGCTCGCTGATCGAGTCTGGCTCCTGGTGCTGAGTCACAATAATTTCAGCCACATGCAGGCTGGCTCCTTCCAGGGCCTCGGGACTGCAGGTGCTGCTGCTTTCTTACACAGGCCTTTGCCATCTGACCGGTGGGGTCTTGAGGAGCCTGAGCTTCTTTGAGCAGCTGGATCTCAGCCACAATTATCTGGCCTGCCTACCCCTGCACTTCTCAGCCACCCTAGATTCCCTGCTCCTGCTGGACCTCTCCCACAACCTGCTCACCACCTTGGATGCCTGCAGCCTGGAGCAACTTGACCTAAGTCACAACCAGTTGGTGGAGCTGGGGACAGGCGGGCTCAGTAGGCTTTTCCGCTTGCGCTGGCTCTCACTGGCTGGGAACAGGCTGCAGCAGATCCAGGGTGATGCTCTGGCTCCCATGCTGAGCCTGGAGGCCTTCTCTTTGGCTGGGAACATCATCAGTGAGCTGGAGGCCGAGGCCTTTGCCTCCCTACCGGCACTGGGTCTCCTCTCTCTGGTGGACAACCAGCTACAACACCTCGAATTCAAGGTGGTGGCGGGTATCCGGACAGCAGGCACAAAGCTGCTGTTGGCCAACAACCCCTGGACGTGTGACTGTGACTTGCAGCGGGCCTTTGGGAAGCTGGGCATCTGCGTGTGGCTGACCTGGACAACCTGACCTGTGCTAGGCCTGGGCATCTGGCAGGGGCGGTGTTGAGCAGTGTAGAGGCCCGACTTTGCTTGGCTGAGACAGCCACTGTGCTGGGCATCACTGGCACCATGTTGGACACTGTGGTCCTGGCTGTGGTCATGGCTGAGCGCAAACGCAGGCAGGGCCTTGAGGGAGCAGGAAAGCCCTCTGGAGAGGTGCTTGCTGAAGGAGGAAGGTCCTGGCAGCTGGAGGAGAGCAAGCTGAAGGAGCTGTGGGAGAAGTAAAGGGAAAGTTCAGAAATCTGGGGTGGAGTGGGATGGGCGTGTGGGCAAGGACAGTGACTATGTTCAGCATCTAGGAGCCCCCAACTTGCCTCTGACCTGTCTCAACCTTGGAAAGTCGGAGTTGGCTTCTTAACACTCCTCTGGGGAAGAGGCAGTAAAAGGATGGTCTGGAATGAAGTCCAGAGAGGACTGGGGCAGATACTAAGGCAAATTTTCCTAATCCTAATTCTGGTCCTTTCCACACACATGTCCCTAACCTCTACTTGATTGGAAGCTGGTTGATGATTTGATGAGAGAGTGGTGCATAGTCCTGGTGGGGGCAAATCTGCATAGTCCTGGTGGGGGACAAGTTTCTAGGACATACACCACCCCAATTCTGTCCTCCTTACCCCCTCAACCCTATCCTGTGCATTTTGTCTGTTCATTTCCATCAGGAATGAATGAGGAAACCGGAAAAATAAAGCCAGTTGGAAAGCTGATTCTGTACCATGTACCTGTATTTCAGGGAAAAAAAAAACTGGTGGATGGAGGGTAGGCAAAATGACTAACCCAGCATTTCTCTCATTCTCTACCTGGAGCGCTCCCCACTCCCCAGCAAACACCTACACACTGCACTTGTTTTTTGAATGGACATAGATACGTCACTTATTTTGATATCTCAGACTATCCTAGTGATTTTGTTAAACATGAGACATGGAAATACAATGTTTTCTTATCCAATTTTCCATTGGTTGCTTGGGAATTTTAAATTTACTTTGTCAGAACTGGGAACAGATCTGAATTCAGTGTTCTACTGGGGACACTTGCAGGGTGTTATGTGCAGCATGATGTTGTTAAGTACGGTGGAGTCGGTTCTGACTCAGGGTTTCTGAGGCTGTAAATCTTTACGGGAGCAGAAAGCCTCATCTTCCGCGGAACGGCTGGTAGTTTTGAACTAACGACCTTGAGGTTCGCAACCCAATTCGTAACTATTACACTACCAGAGCTTATCTTCAGCATAGGAAGGTGAATTTCTGTGTTGGAGGGGGGTGCATAGGTGGGAGTAGCCATGTGGTGGCAACCCCAGAGTGCCTGGAACTTTTGCCCATTCAACAATTCTTTACTGAGCACTTACTATAAATTAGGCATAGAGCATCACTTATTTAGCTATTTGGCACATATTTCCTGAGTGCCTCCTGAGGACATACAAGTAAACAGAGACCAGACCTGGTCCTAGTTGTCATAGAACCTAACCAGCTAGTAGGGGAGACAGTCAACAATAAAAGAATCAGAAAGATACTTACCACTCTGGTAGCATAGTAATTACGAGTCGGACTGTCAACCTTAAGGTCAGCAGTTGGAAACTACCAGCAGTTCCGCGGGAGAAAGCTGAGACGTTCTGCTCCCGTAAAGATTTACAGCCTCGGAAACCCTGTGCAGGGTCACTATGAGTCGGAATCGACTCCAGGGCATTTAACAACAACAAACGTGTTTGAAAAGATGGGTGCTTGATGTTACAAGAACATAGATTAGGACCTGACCAGCTGTAAGTTTACTGTATTAAACCGAAAAAAAAAAAAAAAAAAGATGGGCTAGAGTGGAGCATTGGAGCTGGAGAAAGTGAACCAATTTGAGATGTCCCATATGTTCACATCAGACCTTATTTCAAGGGATGAACAAAAGGCAGACAAAGACCAAAATTCTCTGTAGGTGATGTAGCCAGAGAACAACTAAAACTGAAGCCGAGACATTTTCTTGCTGGTGTATATATCCTTTATTGAACTCCTGGCGTGGCGCTGTAGAATAAGCCCTGAAATGCTAACTACAAGGTTGGCCGTTCAAACCCACTAGCGGTTCCTTGGAAACCTTATCTTATACAGGGTCGCTCTTAGTCGGAACTTAACAGTATGTGCCCAGATCAACTGTCACATCTCCTGTGAGGTAGGTGTCATTATCACCCTTTCATAGATGAGTCTCAAAGTTTAAATGATGTGCTTAAAGTCACAGAATTGGAGCATCCAAAGACTAGTTCGCTTTAATACATCAAACTATGATTCTGAATATTAAGTTCTCCATGGTTAGAGAGCTCCACTGCCCGCCTTTGCTCCGGAACTAGGGAGCAAGAGCTTTGTTCCTGGACGGATGGGATAAAAAGAGGTTCCCGGAAGCGGCGTGTTCCATTTCCCTCCCCCCCCACCCCCAACCTGGCTTCGTTGCCGGGGATGAGGTCGTAACGGACTGCCCTTTCCCAAAATGGCGTCGAAAGTGGGTTCGAGACGGTGGATGCTGCAGCTAATCATGCAGTTGGGTTCAGTGCTACTCACACGTTGCCCCTTCTGGGGCTGCTTCAGTCAGCTCATGCTGTATGCTGAGAGGGCGGAGGCGCGGCGGTGAGTAGTCCCACGCAGCTGCTGAACACGGTGGGAAATGGTACAGCCAGTCCAGGGAACTGAGGTGCGGTGGGGTAGTGAAGAATTTGGCGCCCACGAAGTTGGGAAGAATTGGGATTTCCGACTTGCTATGAAAGACTCTGGTCCGGAGCAGGGTGGGCATTGAACATGATACTGGGGTTCTGGTCATGAGGGGGTGGGATTCAGTTTGGGGGAGCTTATGCGACCTCAAGAGGTCTAGAGGCCTCTTGCTCGAACTTTTCTGCCCTCGTTATTTCCCCTCCCCGCCGTTTGCAGGAAGCCTGACATCCCAGTGCCCTACCTCTACTTCGACATGGGGGCTGCCGTGTTGTGCGCTAGTTTCATGTCCTTCGGGGTGAAGCGGCGTTGGTTTGCGCTGGGGGCCGCACTCCAGCTGGCCATTAGCACCTACGCCGCCTACATTGGGGGCCATGTCCACTACGGGGATTGGCTGAAGGTGAGCGAGCCCCTTGGCCCTGGACAGAACTTCGCGAGGGTGACGGGGAGCTCGTGGTACTTGGTGGCCTATGCGTGGTGTTAGGTAGTGCACAGGCCGGAATGCTGGGAGGGCTGAACCATAGCTTTATGGAGATATTAGAGTGTAATAGGAGATTTAGAGACCACAGGAACCTCCCCTTCAAAAGCCCATAGATGGGAAGTGACTTTAGGAAAGTCACACCACGTGTTAGCATCACAGGTGGGACCACAATATACGTCACCTAGTTCCTAGAATCTTTTATAATGTTAGTGTAGTAATCCTTGACTCACATAGCAAAGGGAAGTACCTGGTCCAATCATGTTTTTAAGAAATTTAATTAATCTTGATGCAGCATTTTGCCCTGTAAAAATGTGCACTGCAGACAGAAATAAATCTGGCCAAAGGTACTACCCATGAGAGTAGTCAGAAAGGCAGGTATGTGAACAGTGACAGGACAATGACATCAGTGGGGATTTTTTTTTGTTTTAACAGACTAGACTATCCTGTGTAGAGAACATTGGGATTTGTCTGGAGATTGTGGGGTGGGGCAACATGTGGTGTCTGGGTTTGGCCATTTGCTTTCTGTAGGACCTTGGACAGTTTATCCTAGTCCCTCTGGACCTTAGTTTCTACTTCTGTAAAAAGAATGATTTATCTCTGCTGTACTGCCCACATCAGATGGAGTGCCATGTAGAGAGATGGGCAGTTTTGTGCTCTGGGCAGTTAGGAAAACTGTGGTTGGTTGTAGTTTCTAACGGATCCCTTTGCCCTAGGTCCGGATGTACTCGCGCACAGTTGCCATCATTGGTGGCTTTCTGGTGCTGGCCAGTGGTGCTGGAGAGCTGTACCGCCAGAAACCCCGCAGCCGCTCCCTGCAGTCCACTGGCCAGGTGTTCCTGGGCATCTACCTCATCTGCGTGGTAGGTTGGGGGCCTGGTGGCTAGAGGTACCTGACTGGGAGTGAAATGTACCCCCATAGAGGGGGCAGAACAAAGCTTGCATGTAGGCCCTGAGGACCTGGCATCCAAGAATTGCCCTGGCCAGTTTCTGGGCCTTAGGGAATCCCAAGTGCCTGAGGCCTGGGTGGACATTTTTTCTTCCAACATTATTGGCACCAGGGAGAGAAGAGGTCGATATTGTCTCATGGGGACAAAGGAGAGGTTTGGTGGGTTTCAGGCTCTGCTATCCAGACTCTGCTATCCAGACCTGAGGGGGATCACTAGTTCTGGCCATCCCTGGTGCTTGGGGAGGCCAGTGTAAATGGGAACAGAGGCAGGCTCTCTACCAGCTGGCCTTCTCTTTGTTATTGGGTACCTTGTTGTGTGTGCAGAGCTCCTTTGGAATAATCAGAGGTGGGAGCCCCAGTCTGGTGGCAGAGACACCATCTACCTTTCTGAGCACTAAGGGTAAGGGGGGATTGAGGCTCTAACCTCTTGGAGCTCCCCAGTCTGAGAGTCAGACACAGTCCTGCTTCCAGAAAGCCCCAAGTCTGAGAGGGAAGTCAGAAGCCCATCTTGCAGAGGCCCCCTAGGCACTGTCTTAGAGTGACCGTCCTTGTCCAGGCTTCTCAGCCTGCGGGACTCTGAGAGCGTGTGTGTCTCCAGGCCTACTCACTGCAGCACAGCATGGAGGACCGGCTGGCATATCTGAACCACCTGCCAGGAGGGGAGCTGATGGTTCAGCTGTTCTTCGTGCTGTATGGCGTCCTGGCCCTGGCCTTCCTGTCAGGCTATTATGTGACCCTGGCTGCCCAGATCCTGGCTGTGCTGCTGCCTCCAGTCATGCTCCTCATCGATGGCAATGTTGCCTACTGGCACAACACACGACGCGTCGAGTTCTGGAACCAGATGAAGCTCATTGGAGAGAGTGTGGGCATCTTCGGGGCTGCTGTCATCCTGGCCACTGACGGCTGAGATGCTTGGTGAGGGGTTGAGTTGGATGCAGGGAACCACTGGGGACCCCCCTGTCTTCCTCCTTGCTGGCCCGGTTGCCGTTTATCCTTTTTGATCTGTTTGTTTGATCTTTGCTTTTTTTGTGTGTTGGTAGGAGGCAGGTCCTGTCCCCAAATTCCTGGGCTCAGCCCTGGGGAGGGTGGGAGCCCTGATGCTGATGACTTTCGGGTTAGTTCCTGTTCGTTTGGAGAGCTGAGGGCCAGCTGCACCGTAGGACTTCCTGTCCCTGAGGAGCCTCTAAGGCAGGGTTGGGTGGAGGGGGCCACTGATCAGTGGGAGACAGGAAGGAAGTCAGAGAACCAGAAGTGAGCAAATCTGAAAAAATTCCTTTTTGAACCTGGAGGATGCAGTTAGGCTCTCTGCAGTGCTTTGAGGAGACTGAGAGTGGGGGTGTGTTGGCACATGTGTATCAGGCCTGGGAAGAGCAGAGGAGCTGGGCACCACAGAAAGATGGGTTTTCAGGGTCTGCTGGGACAGACATTACCAGCTCTCTACCACCTCTCTGGAGAGCGGCCCTGACAGCTCCGGAGTATGCATGGATGGGCGGCTAGCAGCCAGCTTCCTGCTGTCTGTTTGCAGCTTTGTGGTTCGCCTGGTGGGCTTGGAGTGCCCTCCCAAACACCAGACCACATAGTCCTCCAAAAATAAACATTTTATATCAACATTAGGCTTTGCTTCTGTGTTCTCCCCATGGGGCACTTTGCCATTGGCTGGGATTGTTCCTGGCTTGCTGAAGGACTGTGTCTTTGGTAAACGGTATCTCGCTCCTCCTATCGTCTTGTTCCTTTGGCTCTTTTTTTCAAAAATCTCAGTCCTCCTTCTGGTATCTAGCCTCAATCCCTCTTCTTAGAGCTTGTCTTTTCATTCCACCTTTGATGCAGCTCTTTTTGGTGAAATCTTTGGCCAAATGCAACTAGAGGGAGTGTCCACTATGAGGATGAGCATTATCTTCATCTCACAGATGAGGAATTGAGGCCCTGAGAAGGTAAGTAGCTTGCCTAAAGCCACAGAGCACATTGCTGTCTAGATTCCAAGTCAGGCTGTCTAATGCCCGAGCCTGATGTGTACTAGAATGACCTAGCTCCTTAGAGCATTGGTTCTGTCACGGCCCTTAGTGTGCTAAGATGATTTCCTAATTGCTTATCTGCTCATTCATCCAGACACCACCTGACAGGAAACACCCCAGCAGCCAGAGTGGGACTTAGCACACAGTGTCTAAAGAAACCTATAGGCTTTAGACTCAGCCCTGAAGGTTTGCGGTCCTGTTGAGACTGAGACTCCACGTGTCTCCAGTGGGCCTAGGGGAAATATTCAAGTCTGGGCTTTTAGACCAAAACCACCTTCTGATGGCTTTGTCTTGTCAGTAAAGGGTGAGCAGCTGTTTGCTGAGCCTGGCTCTGAGCTCGGCTTGGAAGGATATCTGTGGTAGGGGCATCCAGGGAGCGGAAGCTGGGCTGTGGAATGGAGAATATTCCCTACCTCTGGGGGCTGCTGACATGCAGGTGAAGGAGAGGGCAGCAGCGTTCCTCCTTGGGACCTTCCACCTTACTTAGTTCTCTTAGTCCCTGGTCCCCAGCCCTCATCCATGATCTTGCTTTCTAAGAGCCGAGGCTAATTTCCTTTCAAACGTGAGCTAACTCTTAGACAAATATTTGTGTTTTAATCAGGGCCTCCTGAAAAGTCGCAAGACCAAAAGGAACTAAAATGGGTGGTGGGGTATCAGGAAAGGGACCCTCAAAATAGGAGAGGCTACAGAGAACAGCCCCCTCAAGGCTCCTCTGAATGGAGTCCTCTACGTCAAGCCCCTCCCCCATCTCAAGGCTGAGACTTGATCATCTGGTTGTGGCTCTGAGCAAGTGGAAGTCTTGGGCCAATCCCCCTCTTTCCTGTGCTTACTTTCAGTGCGCCCACCTCGGTAGAGTCAAGCGGGGCTGCCTGCTGCTCTACCGGGTCCTGACTGGCAGACTCCACCCCAGTAGGCATGGCTTCGGGGTGGGTTCATCTCCAGCAGGCTTGGCTTCGGTTCACCCTGGCTGTCCCAGGGACTGCAAAGCCTGTGGTAAGAGTCAGCTACCTGGGTCAGAAGCTGGCTTGCAGAAGGAGTCTGGCAGCCCCTTGGCATGGTTAACCAGCTCATAGGAGTCCCGGATATCGGCTAGGCCGAACCAGAAGAAGATCCACTGTTTGTTGGAGAAGCTGCCATCGCTGTGTTTGAAGTACCTGGAAGAGGGTGGGTTAAGGGCAAGGCACCTTTAGGGTACTGCCGGTGTACTCTCACTGCTTCTTTAAAAAGCGTACGTTGACGACCTATCTAGGCTTCCTCACAGAGACGTAGCCAAGGTTCAGAGAAGTTAGGTAACTGGCCAGGGTCACACAATGCCTTGGCTGGGCAGTAATGGGGAGAGGTTCTTGTTCACCTTTTTGAGCCCACGGAGCAAGGTAGCAGGGGACGAGGGGCTAGTTACTGAAGCAAAGTGAGGAGAGGTATCGGGAGTGAGAGACAGTGAGCCAAGAGTTGGGCCTGAAGGGTTAGGACTTGTGGGGAAGAGCTGTGGAGGCAGGCAGTACCACTCTCTTCTAGGGGTGCTCAGAAAGATTCCTCTGAGGAATGTCCGGTGCTGTGTGTGGTCTATCCTCTGGAAAATGTGGGGCCACACTAGGTAGGGCCTTTGTGGGAGAAGAGAGGGAAGTGGGGTGTCTGCTCTTATCCTGGGACATGGTTGACCAGAGCCAGAGAGGAGAGGAGGGGTGGAATCCAGCCAGAGCTGGGACGGTGGGACCTACCAGGGGTTGATTGGGTTGGTGACTCGGGAGCGCCAGAAGAGAGTCTGCAGGTCCCGCCGCAGGCATTCCCATAGCATCTGGCCTGAGCCTTGGCCCTGGCGGCTGGAGCTCACCACAAACTTGTCCAGGTATGGGGTGCCTCCCAGCACCGGCTCTGTGGTCAAAATGGCGGCTGCGTTGTACCTGGTGTAACGGGGAAGAGGTCGGCTGGGAGTTTACCTGGGCCCAGAGCTGCCAGGCTCTTTCCCTCGCCCCTGCCCACTGAGGCTCACAGGCTCACCCCTCAGAGACATAGATGGAGTGCAGCCGTGGGCGCAGCGTGGCCAGGTAGTCATCCCGGAGCTTCCTGCCAAAGCTGGTGTTGATCAGGTTCACCAGGCGGCCCAGGTCCAGGCTGTCCAGGCTCCGCACTCGCAGCGTCCGTTCTGCATTCTTGAACAGTGTCCCGGACCCTGGGGGCATGACAGAGGGCAAGGGGGCTAGTTTAGCTCCAGGTCTAGCCACCCACTCTGGTCTGTGCTACCAGGGCCAGGTTCTTAGAAGAGGACAGGTGGGATAATTGCCCTCATTAGGAGATGGCCATGGTGAAAGGACCTCTGTCATCTGCACAGACTGGGTGTTACTCTCACGCCAGGAGATGCTTTTCCCAGGAAGTCTGTCCTCTAAATCCCACCCGTTTCCTAGGTAGTGCCATCCGCTGGTGGTGTTAGGTGCCAGTAGAGCTGGCTTTGAGTCAAATCAACAGAACAAAGTAGTCCTGCACTGTTCTCACGATCATTGCATGATTAAGCCCACTGTGGCAAGCCATGTCATTGAGGGGCTTCCTCTTTTTCACGGACCCTCTACATTACCAAGCATAATGTCCTTCTCCAGGAACTGCCCCTCCTGATAGCATGTTCAAAGTATGTAAGACAAAGTCTTGCAGTCCTAGCTATCTGTCTGTTTTTTACCTTCCAAGACAGATTTGTTCTTTCTTTTGGCTGATTATGTGTAGTACATTCAGTATTCTCCACTAACATCATAATTCAAAGGCATCAATTCTTATTCAACCTTCTTTAGTCACTGCTGAGGTTTTGCATGCGTATGAAGCTATCAAAAATACATAGCTTGGGACATACCAGATCTGAATCTTTAAAGTGACATCTTTACTTTTTAACATTTTAAGGAAGTCCTTTGCAGCAGATCTGCTCAATGCAATGCAGTGTTTGATTTTTTGGTTACTGCTTCTATGGGTGTTTGGTTCTGATTCATAGTGACCCTGTATAGGGTTTCCAAGGAGCACCAACTTTGTGGTTAGCAGTACTGTGCTTATCCTATAGTGGCCCAGCATGACTCCTATTTCTAATCCAGTGTGTCTTCCCAAATCCTGTCCCCCAACCTCCATCCTCTCCTACCAGCCCAAGCCCCGCCCATCCACCTTACCCACCTCCCTCAGGGCAGAAAACCATTACTGTGGTATCTATGGCTTCTGAACTGGCTGGTCAGCCACTTCTGTTCCCGACTGGCCCTGTGACCCACTGCTGCCCGCCAGCGACCCCTCACCCTTGTTGCTGAAGAGCTCCGTGAGCACTGTGCTGGCGGCAGTGATGACGGCTGAGGAGTCGTGGGGCAAACGGCTAAGCACTTCCACAATGAGCCGTATCTGCTGCCGCTCTTTGGTGCTCACCCACTCTGCGTTAGTGACCAGGTCCAGGTCCGCGGGCAGGTTCACGTTATTTAAGACCTGTGGCCGAAAGAAAGGGTGTGACCCTCCCGCCCACTGTTAGCCCCAGACACACTTCCTTGACTCCCAGACTGCGCCCTGACTCCATGGACCTCCTCGTCCCTGACACTTTTACCTTGACTTCCAGAGCCCTCAGCCAGGGAGAGCTCAGATTCGGACCTCAGAGGCTGAGCTGTATTTGAAAATAACTCCTTTCGATTCTCCAGGCCCACCACTTAAGACGAATTCCGGGGCCCCTTGGGGAGGTATGCAGGGGGAGCTGCAGGCTGGGTAGTGAGGGAGGAGACCTCAAGAGGAAACACACCTTGCGGCTGGCGTCGCGCAGGCCGCCTGTGGTATTGAGGAAGATGATTTTGGTGGGCTGTAGCGCTTTGGCCAGCGCCGCCGTCACCTCCAGCGAGTCCAGGAGCACAGAGCGGCGCGCAGACGTCTCCCCGATGGGGCACAGGATGGGGATACTGCCGGACTCCAGGCACCACTGCAGCAGGTCTGCCTCCACCGAGACGATGCCACCATAGCTGTAGGCCACATGTGGTGCTCGACAAGGCCTCCCTCCCTAGGCCGTCCTGGTGGGGGCAGGGCAGGAAGGGCTGGCACTAACCTGGCATGGGGGGCGGGTTCAGCGGCGCCCAGCACTGATCCGCCTCCAAAAAAGGGCACTGCGGTGGCGGCATTGTGTCGAAGGGCATCCACCAGTACCTTACAGCTCTGCGCCAGTTGGGCCTTGGCCTCCCAAAAGGAGAGACAGCCCGAGGGCGCTGTAGGGGCAGGCAGTCCGAGGACCACCAGCGGCTTCATGTCCATGCGCTGCAGGAAGGCCAGGGCGAAAGCCAGGCTGGATACAGTCTCCTGGCACTGGAGCACCTCCTCATCCACCTACCAAGGTGTGGCGTTCAGAGGGGCGACTGGGGCCCTGAGCCCCTTGCACACCTCCCTCAAAGTCGTTTGCTCCTAGAACGTGCTCTGCCCCCAGGACTCACTGCTCCTTCCAGAACTCCAGCCTTCCAAGGAACTGTCAGCCTCCACTTATGGCCAACGAGCCCACCTGCTTGCCCTTTGCCCGTTTGGTCCTGCCATCCCCTATCTCACACCAGTGGCCTTGGACTCTGGGACACACTGGGGGGAGGAGTGACGCTGGCGACTCCTGTCCACTTTCCCATAACTGCACTCGCGAAGAGGGATGCCTTAGAGCAACACACCTAACAGGTTGGGGTCCCCTGGTTCTTCACTCGGTGAAACGCATCTATCAGGGTTCTGCTGCGGCCCTTCCAGGTTCCGCTGCTCAAGGTCCACAACCAGCCCTGCTCTGCCTGAGTAAATGTCGCCACCCCTAACCCCTCACTGTGACACAGGCCGACGCTGGCGCTCACCTCGATGACCGCGAAGGGCTTGTCGGAGGAGTGGTGGCAGGTCTGGAACTGCGTGAGCCAGTGGCGCGCCTCCCCGGGACTGGCCCCACACTGGTTCAAAAAGGCCTGGATGTCCCGTTGCACCAGCGAACGGCGGGCAGGGTGCTCGGGGGCCACGAGCGGTGCGGAGGGCGGACTCCACGACGGCTCCTCTGCGGCAGGAGGCGGGACGGCGTCTTCCGCGCCCTCGGCTTCCTCGCTCCGGGGCTGGGCTGGCACTCCGGCGGTGCTGAGCCGGCGCCCGGGACTGGCGCTCCCAGCCGCCCGCCGCCGCGCGCTGCCGCTCAGCCTCCGGGCGCCCTCTGGGCCGCGCAACAGCCCACCCGCAGCGACCGCCCGCATGGCCCATGCCACCCTCACCGTCGCCATGACAAACCTGCTAGCCCCTACAGGGGTGACCGTCTGTTGGAGCTCCCGGCTCTGGGAGGCTCTTAACCTGTCTAGGGCGGGGCTGGATCCGTCAGGGGCGGGCCAAGACAGGGACCCAGAGTCACCTTTGGGCGCGATCGAGGAGGGTCACGTCATAGGGGTTGGGTTCCCAGGCGGCCCCGCCTTAGAGGAGGAGGGTACCCACTAACGAGAATCACGAGGCTAAGTGTGGCGGGGTGTCTTTAATCTGCTGCCAAGGCTGGTTCCAGGAAAGGACCCCAGGATGACTTTTGTGTCTGCAGGGACATGAAAAGGGCAGATAATTAAAGGAGGTCTTTGGGCTTAGGGCCAGTAGGGAGCCCTGGTCTCACTCACAGTGCCTTTGAGCTCAGCTGCCACCCTGAAGGTCAGTAAATCAAAGCCTCTCCAGGAGAATAATGTGGCAGTCTGCTTCTGTAAAGATGGTTAATATTGTTTCCGAGGAGCGGCTGGTTGGCTTGAACCATCAACCTTGAGGTTAGCAGTCTAGTGCTTTATCTTACAGCGCCAAACCAGGACTCCCATCAGGAGATCATATGAGGGCAGTTCTACCCTGTCATATAGGGTAACTATATGACATACAGCATCTGGTTTGTTGTCTAGGGCTAGAAGGGAGAAAAGGTAGCAGAACTCAGGATTTGCAAGGGAATAAAGACCAGGAGGTAAAATGGAGAAGAGGGAAGGAGGTGCCTGCTGAGCTCTCAGAAGATTCCTACCATCACGAAGCTACCAGAGATTGCCAGACTCCAGCCGCTGAAGGATTTTGTTATATCCTTGAATCACTCGTATTAGCATTAAACTCTGTCTTTAATCTTTTAAAACTGAAAACAGTTCAACTCCAGATCCATGCTCTAAGCAAGATTTGAAAAGAACTTGAAAGATGAAAATTTCACAGGATATGATTCAATGTTACTTAATACTGTGGTCATGTGCGTGACAACCTTGTGCACCATTCATTAGACACACCCTACCCTCTGTGTTTCAGGAGCTCTGGTAGCGTAGTGGTTATGAGTTGGGCTGTGAACCTTAAGGTCAGCAGTTCGAAACTACCAGCTGTTCTGTGGGAGAAAGATGAGGCTTTCTACTTCTGTAAAGATTTACAGCCTTGAAAACACTGTACAAGGTCACTATGAATCGGAACTGACTCCACAGTGCATATACACCCCCCCCCTTCTGTGTTTAAACAGGAGGAAACAGCAGCCCTATAGGGGAAGTGACTTGGCCAAGGTCACACAGCTCTTATGACCGGACCCAAGTAACCCCAACCTTCACTCTGCTGCTTCCTTTGATTTTGTGCTCCCCATGCTGGGAGTCAGGGCTTTAGAGGTTCTGCCTAAAGGGGAGAGAATAGCCTCAACTTCTCTGCTTCTCCGCTGAGCATCCTAGAGAGCATCCTAGAGCATGCTGGGTGAGTACACTGAGCCCTTCCTGGGTCTCCCCCACCGACGCACACCAACACACACACACACTGTCCTAGGCAGGAGACTCCAGAGGAGAGGGAGAACGACGACTTTTCTGATCTCTGATGTCCTCCATTAGCGTTTCCATTTTCTGGCTTAGAAATCATGTACCAAGGCAGGAGTGAAGCCATGGCAGGTATGATCTGCCCCTCCTCCCATCCCCTTAGCATTTCTCCCAGGGTCTACTTTCTCTTCCTTCTTTACTGCTCCCTCTATCCCCTATAGGAACCCTGGTGACTCAATGGGTTAAGCACTTGGCTGCTAACCTCAAGATCAGTGGTTCAAACCTACTAGCTGTTCTTTAGGAGAAAGATGAGGCTGTCTACTTCCATAAAGACCAATGGTGTCAGAAATCCTAATTTCTGTTCTGGCCTACGGGGTCGATATGACTCAGAATAGACTCCACGGAAGTAGGTTCTATTCCCTCCACAGGCCAACTCCCCAGAATCCTCCAGAGGAGGTCGTCCTAACCCCTTGGGCATCCTGGATTTTCTTCTCCAAGCTCCTCCCCACCCTCACAGCCCGCAGCCTCAAATGCAGCATCCTCTTCCAGGGCCCTCCACCCCTTCCGACCTCTCTCCATTTAGGACTCTGTTTCCACTCTTTCCCTCTGTAATGGATTGAACTGTGTCCCCCGCAAAATGTGTGTTGTAAATTCTACCCTCTGTGGTTATATGTCTGTGATTAGAATCCTATTTGGGGACGTGTTGTTTTTGTTACATTAATGAGGCAGGGTTATTACAGGGTGTGTTTTCAGTCAATCTTTTACAAGATATAAAAGGAGCAGATTGAGGAAGGAGAGATGAGGTAGGGTAGATAGATGCCCTGCAACATGAAGATCACAAAAGAGTCAAACCTCCCCCAAGAGTTGACAAACAGGAAAACCTTCCCTATAGCTGATGCCCTAAATTCAGATTTCTGTCTCAAACCTACTGCTGATCCTTGGAAACCCTATCCAGGGTCGTTATGAGTCAGAACCAACTCGACGGCACTTAACAACAACAAACTGAGAAGGAGTCCTGGTGTGGAGCTATAGGATAAGCATTGGACTGCTAATCACAACATTGGAAGTTCAAAACCACCAGCCACTCTTTGGAAAGCCTATACAGGGTTACTATGAGTCTGAAAGGATTCGACAACACACAACAACAAACTGAGAAAAGGAACTAGTTTTTGTTAAAGCCATCCACTTGTGGTATGAATTATAGCAGTCGTGGTGTGGCGCTGTAGGCTAAACCAACCAACCGCTCCCCAGAAACCCTATTGTTGTTGTTATGAGCCATGGAGTCGGTTCTGACTGTACAGGGTTTCCGAGGCTGTAGATCTTTATGGGAGCAGAAAGCCTCATCTTTCTCCCGCGGAACGGAACATCTTTCTCCTGCGGAACAGCTGGTAGTTTCGAACTGCTGACCCTGAGGTTAGCAGCCCAATTCATAACCACTATGCTACCAGAGCTCCTTAGAAACCCTATACAGGATCGCTATTAGTCAGAAGCGACTTGACGGCACTTAACAATAACAACAACAACAACGAGATAACTAAGACAGCATCCATCGCTGCTCCCAAGCCAGATGCATTCCCCTTCCAGGTCTTTTCCCTCAAGAGGATGCTGAAGTGCAGACCAGACTACCACAGGGGATGGCAGTACTAAAAGAACTGTCTATACATTTTTTTGTATATATTGTCTATACAATGTTTCATATATTTTGTATATATTGTCTGTACAATGTTTCAGATATTTTGTATATATTGTCTATATAATGTTTCATATATTTTGTATATATTGTCTGTACAATGTTTCATATATTTTGTATATAGTTTCATATATTTTGTATATATTGGCTATACAATGTTTCATCAGAGAGGAAGCCACGACCACCAGGACAGAAGAGCCAGGAGTGGGATCCCTGCACTGTGCGGCTCCTAGGTCCAAGGAGAAATGGATGTAAGAATAGATGGAGTTCTGCAAGGAATGCTGGGTTTACGGATACCGGAAGGAGACGAGGACCATTCTCAGCTGGCATTCTGAATCTGCATGTCTAGCCTGGTAAGCTGTAAGAGAGTAGATTTCTGTTTGTTAGTTAAAGCAACAACTGAAACAAAAACTTTCAGCAGAAATTTATTATTTTTAATAAAAATATCCCAGTAATTAGTTATAACAACAAAAATAGTTTTTGTAAACCTAGTATCATATACATTCAAGGTTAAAATTCTATGCCAATTTACTTCTTGAGCCTTCTAATATGCTCCACTCAGAGATATCATTATTACCTGTTACAACGATGCTTTGAATCAAGTGTTGTTGTTTTTTCTGCAGATGCTACACACATGCACTGTGACTTCTGTGGCTTTCGATCAGCACTGGACTCTGAACCACAAGGTCGGCAGTTCAAATCCACCAGCTGCTCCTCTGAAACTCTATACAAGGCCGCTATGAGTTGGAACCAACTCGACGACACTTAACAACAACAAAGTGTTTTTATAGTCTCTGATTTTGTAAAATTTTCTAGTGTTTTAGCTACAATGTTGTGGTAACTAGTGTTTATGAACCTCAATAACTTTTTTTGTGTGAATAAGGTAATAAATAAAAAGGAGAAAAATAAAAATAGGTTTCCTACTAATAATGTAACTAATAATATAATTCAATGTAAAAAGATTTTATGAATCAATTTTGTTGTTAGTATTCATATAATCTAATATCAGTTACTGATAATGTTATAACTAATAAGGTTATAATTCAATGTAAAAAGATTTTATAAAACAATTTTGTTGTTAGTATTCATACAACCTAATAAATATTGCATTTAAACAATTTACAACTATATTTATCATAGATTATTCTGAGATGAAAATTGATAGTAAATATTACTAAGGATGCAGTATGGTCTGGTACCATACAAAAGGGGGAGGGAATGCACTATAAGTTACCACACTGGGTGACACCCATCCTGGGAGAATCCTGTCTCCTTCCTGGGAGGGCAAAAGCTGCTTCTCCCCTCACACCGAACCTCTCTGAGGGGAGCAGCTGGACTTGATGGCAGGGCTGATGTCACCTTCCCCAGACTGGGGGCTGCCAGAGGGCCACCCATTTCAGTAAGCACAGACAACATCAGCCCCATGTACCCTGTGTCAAAGATGCAGTTGTTTCCAACTCTCTTGGGCTTCAGCCCAGGGGGCTGTGTCCCTAGGCAGCCAATGGGGTCCATGGATGCCCCAGTGGATGATTAACTCCAGGCCCAGTGACCCTAGGTCCACTGTGTTCTTGTCACCTTTCTCTAGAGGAAGGCCATTCTCTGGCTGGAGAGCTGGCCCTGATTTCTGGAGGAGATGAGTGTGAGTGTACCAGGGTCAGCAGCTCTCTCTGACCCATCTCCCTCACTGTTGTGTGACTCCAGCTGGAATGTTAGCCACCCCCCCACCCCCCCACCCCGGCAGTTCACCCCTGTTGTTTTGTTAGTACAGCAGATCCTGTCATCACTGTGGCCAGAATCAGGGCCCTGC